CTTTTCAAAAGATGATGCACATTTTTTTTTTTTTAAGTAGAGCTTTAGCTTTTCGATCCAACTACCAGTTATCAGGAAATGTAGAAAACAGAGAAGCATGTTAAATGACCCCAGCAAAAGCCAGACTGTAGGAGATTATATGACAAAAAACCTCCCTTCTTTAACAAATATATTGCAAGGGACAAAAACATGGGGATCAAACCTGTAGATGAAAAGAAACTTAGAATCACCAATCACTTGCAGTGCATGTACTTTGGATCCTGTTTTAAACAAACTGTAAAAAAATAAAGCAATAGAAAATAAATATTTATGAGCTTCATGAGAAAATTTTAATGTTTCACACTGACAGGCTATTTGATGTGAAATTATTGGGGTTTTGTTTAGTTATGATATTGTGTTATAGTTAGAAACATGAGTCCTTATCGATACAAAGAAAATGGTGTGTCTGGGATTTACTGCAAAATAATTGAAGGTAAGGGGGAAGTGGGTGGGGTAATAGATGAAACAAAATTGGCCATTATGGAAACTCGGGGATGAGTACAAGGAAGTTCATTAAACTAATTTATTTATTTTTAAATGTGTTTGAAGTTTTCCACAGTAACTTTTTAAAGGGGAGCTTCCACATAAAAAATCTGGATTCTCTTGAAAAAAAATGGAAAGATCTGGCAACGCTGGGGTAGACCTCCATATTGCAGCCAGAGCTGAGAAGTGTTAGAGGAAGGTGGCATCCAGGAAAACACGGTCCCTGCCACTCCCCATTGACCTTTAACCTGGCTCATTTCCGTATATACGGCACCTGATTCAGCCATCACTGTTTTGCTATGAGACCGAAACCCGTAGGAACTTTCTTTCCAATGCTCTCCTCACCCAGCTCACTCCCTGTTGGTCAAGTGGGGCTGGGACAAAGGGGATGCCTGCTTTTCCTTCTCCTTTTCATGATGTTTTTTTCCCCTGAAATCCCTTTTCTGTGCTATGAGTCCTTTTTGGGCATCCAAGAATCAAGGATTTTGAAACCCCAGAGCCAGAAGGAGACAATTGTCCCTCCTCCCCATCTTCTGCTTTTGGCCATTACACCCCTTCCCCACGGGAGTGAGAACAATCTGACACTGAATGGGGAAACAACAGACAGGGATGGAAAGGAAAAATCGGGGAACATTCGGTTGTGATGTATGGGTCTTATGCACATCAGATGGGCAAATGTTAAAAAGTCGGATAATACCAAGTGCTGCCCAAGGCGAAGGAAAACAAAATCTCATGGGAATGTTAACAGGTAGAACTTCCTGGGAAGCAGTTTGGAAGTATTAAGTGAAACAATACAGGTTGATCCTACAGCCCGGCTCTCCTGGACGCTGAACCCAGAGAAAGTCTTGCCCACGCCCCCACAGAAACACAGGTGAATAAGCTCTTGTAGAATCATTTGTAATAGTGAGGATTTGGAAATACCCAGAAATGTATTTACACCAAAGAGCCAATTAAAATGGAAAAAAAACACCATAACACCTAGAAATTCATTAAGAGCAAAGCAGAGAAATGTTCTATGAAATGATGAGTACTATTCAGCAGATGAAAGAAATGCTCTGGTCCATGTTTACTCAAATCAACTTGGTGCCATCTCAAAATCTCATCATGCTGACTGGACAAGAGTGAGAAGAGAATGATATATATATATATCCCCCTAAAGACTGCTCCAGCGTATTTTTAAAAAATACATACAAGAGGCACCTGGGTGGCTCAGTCATTAAGTGTCTGCCTTTGGCTCAGGTCATGATCCCAGGATCCTAGAATGGAGCCCCACAACGGGCTTCCTGGAGCAAGAAGCCTGCTTCTCCCTCTCCCACTCCCCCTGCTCGTGTTCCCCCTCTCGCTGTGTCTCTCTGTCAATAAATAAACAAACAAATAAATACATAAATTATTTATTTATTTATTTTAAATTATTTTTTTTGTTTCATTTCTTCGGTGTTCCAAGATTCATTGTTTATGCACCACACCAAGTGCTCCATGCAATACGTACCCTCCTCAATACCCACCACCAGGCTCAACCATCCCCCCACCTCCTCCCCTCTAAAACTCTCAGGTTGTTTCTCAGAGTCCATAGTCTCTCATGGTTCATCTCCCCTTCCGATTTACCCCAATTCACTTTTCCTTTCCTTCTCCTAATGTCCTCCATATTATTCCTTATGCTCCACAAGTAAGTGAAACCATATGATAATTGACTTTCTCTACTTGACTTATTTCACTCAGCATAATCTCCTTCCGTCTCATCCACGTTGATACAAAAGTTGGGTATTCGTCCTTTCTGACGGCTGCATAATATCCCATTGTATATATGTACCGTATCTTATTCATTCGTATGTTGAAGGGCATAAATAAATCTTTAAAAAAGTACACACAAAACAATACCAATAATACCAATACCAATAATACCAATACTGGGTCTGGATATAAATAGGAATATGCATTGGCAGGACACAGAATCACAGCAATGGTAAAAGGAAAAAATGAGGCTGGGGATGGGACAAAGGGAAGGAAAAAAAAAGTGAAATAAAAAGAGCCCCACATGTGCTAATGAAGATGGTGTGCCTTGAACCAAGGAGTATAGCTAATTCACTCTCAGCACACAAGGTTTCAACAAACAGAAAACCAAAGCAAACCAAAACACGCCACCAGTTAATAGTTAGAATATTAACCTGATGCATGTGGAAGGAGCATGTGAGTGAGTAGCTATGAATAACCAGAAGGCTAACATGTGCCCAGAGCTGGCAGAGAGAACTATCACTTAGGGGTCTAGGCAGAGTGGAGACAGAGAGTGGCCTTGGGCTACTCCAGGGGACATCAGGTGTCCCCACACCGTCAGTCCCCTGTGATTCCCTCAAACAGTTGAGCTCATTCTGGGGTCACCCTGTTATGCCCTTCAGTCGCTTAATCATAGACATTCACCAGTCAGCACTGTTGGCTGCTTTTAGGGAACCTGGTGGGTCACCAGGTATTGTCACCATGGGGTGCTTTCCACCTGTGGGTCGTCTCAAGTAAAGTCCTCCAGTAAAGTCGAGATATTCTGGAAACAAATACTGCTGCAGCTCCTCTCTTTTCTGCATGCTATTTCTCAAACAATGTGTTGTATGGTAGAGACTAGAACAGTCCAGCTTACTTTGGTTGGGCAGTGGAGGGATAGAGGAGAGTGGTTCTGGCCAACGGCTATGATATTGCTTGAGGCCCCACTCTTGGGAATGAAGGGGAGGAGGAAAGATGATACATTATTGCTATCTCCTGAGCCTATCCTCCTTCTCTCTCTTCCTCTTGTGCATTCTCCTTTTCTTTTATAAACCTATATTCAGTGTGAGTATGCACCAGGCACTGTGCTAGGTACAATATGATATGAATCGGACATTGTTGCCTCCCCTCAAGAAGATTCAAGTCTAATGGGGAGCAGGTGGTGAGTGGAGTCAAGTATGGTAGACATCTGTGGGAGGTAAGCATGCTTTGGGACCACAGTGGAGGGCAGCTACATCAGATGAGAGGGTATCAGGGATGGCTTATTGGAGGCAGTGCTCCTTGAGCTGGTCTGAAAGGAGAAATGGAGTTAACAAGAAGGGGAAGAATAGGGGAAAGGGATTTCTGCTGAAGGGAATAGCATATGCAATGGCTGAGAAGCATGAAACAGCAGGAAGCGGTGGGAAGCTGTCCATAGTTCCCCATATCTGGACTTGGGACTCAGGAAGGGTCTTGGGTGATAGGACTTAATTCATGTCCCATCTCCTCCCTAAAGCCTGCAGAACTGCCTCAGTCCCATCATGTCCCCTCCTCTATGATCTTGGGCCAACATCTTACAATTAAAAAATTGCATGGTTTTCACCCTCCTCATCCTCCTGCCCCCCGCTCCCCTCCTCCTCCTCTCCTCCCTTCCCCCCTCCCCCTCCTCCTGTGCTTCTTCCACACAGTGCCTTGCATGTAGTCTTTACTCCACCACAGGGATGATTCACGACCCAGTTCTGAGTGGGTATGCTTTTCAGCGAGGAGGCAGACTAAGGCAGGGGTCAGCAGCACCAAATCCCACCCTAGTGCCCTGGATTTTCATCTGAGAGGCTTCTGTAAGGCTGTAAAGCTGGGCTGACATCTGGACCAGTGGCAAGGTGAACATTCTTTTGGGGCGGTGGGGTAGATACCCTCTAAGACAGTGTCCAGCAATCCCCATCTCCTGGTTTTTGTGGCCTGGTATAGTGTCCCACCTTGTACCAGGGTTGATCTGGATGATCAACAGAACAAGGAAAGTGACAGTACATGTCTTTAAGCCCAGCTCAATAAAGACATTATGACTTCTGCATTCCTTCCTGTCTGGGGCTGTTTACTCCGGAAGAAGCTAGGGCCAGGCCATAAAGACACACACGCAGCCATATCACAGGTTCATGCAGTGAGTAACTGAGGTCTCCTGCCAACACCTGTGACAGGAGGCATCTTAGATGCGGATCCTACAGCCCCAGCCAAGCCTTCAAATGACAGAAGCCCCATTTGACATACTGATTACAACTTCCCGAGAGACCCTGAGCCAGGACCATCCAACTAAGCTGCTTCCAAGTTCCTAACTCTTGGATACTGTTAGAGACGATAAACATTTATTGTGTAAGCTGTGATGTTTTAGGGTAATTTGTTACCTAGTGATGGACAACTAACACAGTGCAGTTGGCAACTCTGAGTGGCTTTTCCTGCTTGGGTTTTGGGAGGCTTCCTGACTAGGGTTTTGCTTCCTCTGATAGGCAGAAGTGTTAGGGCTCCCAAAAGGCCACATCCACTCACCCTGATTCGTCCTCTCACTTCTTCTCCCTCCCAGCTACTTCTGTTGTTGAAGGGACCAACAACGTGACAGCAGATGCACAGAAGCCTCACCTGGACTGCCCTTATCTGACTAGCAGAGAGCTTTCGGAGAACCAGCTGCCACCCCGCAACCCTCGCCCCCACCCCTCCAGGGGGGGCCTCAGTCAGGGAGGCACTGATGTGGAGCACAGGGACATTCCCAGAGAAATTGTGTAAGCCAGTCTCATCAGAACCATCCGTCCTTTGAAGTTCTAAGCCCCTCCCCCCCTTGTTAAATTGGTATGTACACCCTTACCTCTGGTTTTTCACTAAGTTACACATTCCTCCGTGCTCCCGCACTCAGTGTGTGCACACACGTCGTGTTTTCTCTTATTAATCTGCTCCGGACCCCCACCCCTCCCACCTAAGTTGGCAGAGGGAAAGGTGGTCCTCCCAACACTCTCAAATCAAACAAATCCCCAGGGACCGTCAAATGAGAAGTTATGAAGCCGTCCACACTGAGTTTTCCGTCTGGTCAAAGGAACTTAACTTTAAAAGCAACCACTTCTGTTGGGGGGGGGTCCCCCAGGGGTTTATGACCCCTTCAGCCATGGGGCAGATGGCCAGGAGCCCATAGGAAATGCAACTGCTGGGCCTGACGTCACAGCAGGGGCAAATTCTCTTACAGAGAAGCCTGTGTCTCCTGGTCTGTAGCGGTTTCCTTTTGGGCTCAGACTTATTTAACGGACCCTGAGTACTTGCCATGTGCCCGACTCTGTTCTAAGTACTTTACAAATAATACACCGTTGAAGCCTCCTAATGAGCCTATGAGGTAAATGCTCTTATTGTCTTCATTTTACAGATACGGCTCCTAAGGCCCAGAGATGTCGAGCAGTTTGCCCAAGGTCAGCGAGCATTCTGGGCCTCTGGGGCCCTTGGCCAGGGCTGCTGCAGCTGGACAGGATTATGTGTCTGAGCTCTGGCTATGGGCCACCCAGAGGTACGCATCGAAGCAGGGCACTGTGTCCCGAACAACTGGGCCCGTTCTGAATAGAGAAAACCACGGGGCTATTCATCTTCCAAGGCTAACCTTTGTCCTCAACTCTGAAGTCCGCCTGTGCACTGCCTTGGGCAGGAGAGTCTCTTCTCTGACTGCGCGCCTTCCTGCCCCCTCACCTTAGCTCCACCGGGCACCTGGGGGAGGCGTCCACACTTGCCCACCTGCCTAGACCAGTGGTTCTCAACCAAGGGCAATTTTGCCTCCCAGGAGACCTGTGGTGATGTCTAGAGACATTTCCAATTGTCACGACTAGAAGGCTGCTACTGGCACCTAGTGAGAAGAGGCCCGAGATGCTGCTAAACATTCTAAAATGCCTAGGATGACACCTCACCACAGAGGATTACCTGGACTGAAATGTCAATGGTACAGAGGTTGAGAAACTCACCCGGGCCCATCTCACAGCCTCCTTAAGGCTGAAGACCCCACCCTCCACCCTAACCCCAGCATACAGACATACGATGGTCTGATTCCTATTACAATTGGCAGTATGGGGTCCCCCATGGGGCTCCGTGCATCCTACTTCATCTCCTAGAGGCCACAACAGAACATGAAAGATACAGTTTGCACAGCTGCTACAAGTTCTTGAAAACAAAATAAGGATTTTGAGGTATGGATAATTTATTTTGTCCCAGGCTCTGTGCTAAGCATTTTACATATTTTGTCTTCTGTCATTCTCATAAGCCAGTCTTAGATGCAATTACCATCCCTATTTCACAGATTGGGAAACTGAATTTAAGTAAGTTGCCCAAGGTCACACAGCTAATAAGTGACAGGGCCAGGTTTGTAACCTGCCCAGGCAGTCTGACACTAGCACTGATCTATATACCAAGGCAAAGTAAAGATGAGGTAAGTTTCCAAGGAGAGCCCACCTGATGCCCCCCAGGGGACAGAAGCATCAGCCTCATTGACTCCACAGCTGCAGCCAAGACCCTCAGAGCTGGGCAGACACAACTGGACCTGCCGTGGTTCTTCAAGAGGAAAGAATAAGAGTAGAGAGAAAGGAGAGGAGGGCTGGTTTTTGTACGAGCACAGTTAAGACAGGACCAGCAGGAAAGAGATGGGTAAGGAAGAAGGCCCTGGAGCCTTTTATTTTTTATTATAACAAGGGAAGGAATGGGAGATTTGTTTCTAAGCTATAAATACCCTCCTTTGATTTCTGTGCATATCAGTGATAAATGAGCCACTTAGGCCTTAGAAATTAATGACTGTCCTAATTATTACCTCAAATGACCTTCTGGCATTCGTCATTCTGATCACTCCGTGCAAAGCAGCTGTGTCAGAGTTTGACCAGGTTTGGGAAGGAGGCAGGACAGGTGTGAGAGAGTTTCTGTGGCTACAGGCTTAGTCTGCAGAGATCAAACCGGCCTCAACTCTTAAGGCCAGAGAACTTTTAGAACCAGACCCCAGCTCTAGAGGGCCCTGCCCTCCCTGTGTTTGCCTTCAGGGCCTTGGTGAATCCTGAGTCCACTGAGCTGAGCAGGGACCGTCTGGATGTGTTTGAAGAGTGGCAGGCCCAGCTCAAAGCAAGAAGGGGGTTCCTGCAAAGCTGACAGCCACCTTCCGCAGGGCCCCTTCCCATTCAGATTCCCGGAAGAGCTTTGAAGTTTCCTCTGTGTTTTCAGAGTCCTGATCCTACTGTACTGGATTTAGCCTGCAGCCCTGCCCTGTCCCTAGGGATTGATTCCCCAACTGCAAAAATCTTAGAAAAATATTGCAAGCTCCACCCACCATCCCCAGGATGGTGGCTTTGTCCTTAGGCTAAAATAACAAAGGAGACCACAGAACCCTCACCAGGGGACATTCTCTCTGCATTTATAGTTTCTTCGGAGACATTCTGGTGATGACCTCTGGGACAGGATCCCAGGGCAGGAGCTTCCAAGATCTGTGTGTGTGCGTGGTGGCGTAAGTGGGGGACGTTTTATTGGGGGGGGGGGTCCTTGATAGGGAGAACACAGTAAGGGGAAGAGTGAGTGAACAAGATTGTCCCTGAAGGCCTCCCAAGGCACAGGCGGGTTCCAGGACAGTCACAGCAGGATCCGGAGTGCCTTTCCAGCCATGGCCAATGAGCCAAGCACTGTGCTTCCTGTAGCCAAATACCAATCTCAGGGACCCTTGTTGTTCCCAGCTTTGCACAAGGTACTCTGCTGTCATATTGGGCCACCAGAGAGTCATGAAGTCAGGACTGAAGAAGAGCCTTTTGGGGGAGAGGACGTGGGGAAGAAGAAAGACCTAAGGCAGACAGATGGGCAGAGACCGGAAGAGAGGGAGGAGAGCTGGGAATCCCAAACCCCTGGATTGGCTTTTCAGAACAGAGTCTGAGCAATAGTGCCATCTTGTGGCTCTGAGGAGACATTACAACCAGTATACATCCGAACACGCTGTCTCCCTCTCTCTCTCCCCCTCTTTCTCTCTCCCTCTCCCCCTCCCTCTTGCCCCCTCTCTCTCCAATTTAAAATTTAAAATTCACTTCCTCAGTCACACATGCTCACTAGCTCCATGTGACGCGGGGTTTCTGTACTGGACAGCACAGAAATAGAGTATTTCTATTGTTGTAGAAAGTTCTGTTGAACAATGCTGTTATAGAAAAGTTCAGAGTTGTTGTTTGATAGAGAGTTGTAAAAATTCAGAGGAAATATTGTTTAGAGTCTGCTTTCTACCATTAGAGTAGCCACTGGTTAAAGGTTTACAGAACAGTTTTCCAGAGATTCTCTCCTCCCACTGTTGGAGTGGCTGTGTTGCATTTTAGAGAGAAGAGTTGACTTGGTGTCTGATAGACCTGAGCATGAATCCCAGCTCTGCCACGTAAGCCTCTCTGGACATCAGTTTGCTCATTAGTCAAATAATTCCTCTAGACTTTTCTAGTTCTAACCAGGCCGTTCTCTGCCAGGGTTTGACGAGAGCTGCTGCCAAACACAGCCCCTGGGCTGTGTCCACCTGTGCTGTCTACAACTGTGGAGCCACTAGCCATGGATCTTGGCACTCTCCCCACCCCATCTTATCCCCAAAGCCACTTCAAACCCTGCTCCTCTCCCGCATACCTCTCAGGTGAGTCCCTATCTGTCTGGTGAAAGACCGGCTGTTTGGTGTTTGCCTCAACCTTAACTTTAAGATCCATTCACTCATTCAACAAATACTTATTGCACTCTTATTAGGTGTCAGGCACTGTCCTTAGACTTGGGGACCTGGCTGTAAATACAAATGTCTCCATTCTGCACCTTACATTTCAACTGGGGAGACGAGGTACTAGGCACTTAAATATATCACATAAAGGAGAGTACTAATTAAGTGTGACAAAGGGAAGTCAGGCAGGGGGATGGTAGAGCTACTTCTGATAAGGAAATTCATCAGGCAAAATTTTATAAGCAGGTGATATTCGTGCAGAGACCTGAGTGAGGAGAGGGAGTAGGTCAGTGGATATGTGAGGGGGAAGGAATTGCAAACGCAAAGGATGCAAAGGCCTGAAGCCAGCTGTGTCGGTCTTCTCACCAGGGTCAGGACCTATAACAGATGACACACATTTGGGAGTTTAGGGATCTAGGGCCTAGGAGATAAGAATAGGTTGAACATTTATCCCTTCTCTACCTAACCCTGTCTTTAGCATCCAAAGATATCTTTATAGAAATCCACTGGAAGGGGTGCCTGGGTAACTCTGTCAGGTGACCAACTCTTGATTTCGGCTCAGGTCGTGATCTCAAGGTCTTGGGATCTAGCCCTGAGTCAGGCTTCACTCTCAGTGCAGGGTCTGCTTGGGATTCTCTCTCTCCCTCTCTCTCTCCCTCTCCCTCCCGGTGCTGGCATTTGTGCATGCACATGGGCGAGCACTGTCTCTCTAAAATAATAAATAAATAATTTTTTTGTTGTTGTTCTCTTCATTTATTTGGGTCTTATTTTTAGATAAAGCTTTTTTTTTTTTTTTAATAAATCGGTTTTTTAAAAAAGAAAAAACAAGGGGTGCCTGGGTGGCTCAGTAGGTTAAGCCTCTGCCTTCAGCTCAGGTCATGATCTAAGGGTCCCAGGATCGAGCCCCACATCGGGCTCTCTGCTCAGTGGGGAGCCTGCTTCCTCTCCTTCTCTCTCTGCCTGCCTCTCTGCCTGCTTGTGATCTCTGTCTGTCAAATAAATAAATAAAAATCTTAAAAAAAACAAAAAAGAGAAAAAACAAGAAATCCACCTGCCCAAGGCCCACAGAGCATGTGGGAGGCCCTGCTGTAGGTCTGGATTCAGGACCTTCTGGCTCCCATCCTTCTGAATACAGAGGCTGATTTTTGTTGCAAGGATTCCAACACATTTCACCTTCCAGGTCAGTGTTTTCTTCTTCCAAATTGCTGGGGCTCTCTTTTGTGGCTGGTGGTGATCCCCCAACTCTGTCTTTGCTTGTATCAAACAGCCTAGATCTCCAAATGAACATCTGCGCTAAGACATCAAAGTGGAAATTTAAGCAGAACAGTTATTTCAGAGGTAATGCCCCAGCTTTAGACATCTGGGGACTGGCCAGTCCCCGCTCCAGGCTAGCTGGCTCTGCCTCTTGCTCATTTCACGAACAGAGCCCACTTTGCCATTTTCCAGCTTGACAAACAGAGCACAGTTTGCAGGTATGCTTACAAAATGTCACCGGGAACATTTTCCTTTGTTGCCGAAGGCTTACATTCTCTCTAGGCAGCCAGCCAGTTGCTTACAAGTGAAACTGCTCCAGAACTAGATTGCTAACAGGGCCCACCTGGGTTTGTTTTCCAGCCCATGCATCAACAAGAATCAGTCAAATGTCACCTGAGTGGCCTCTGGGTTACTGGACTCAGAGGGTCAAAAATGTCTGTGGCAAGAAGTCTGAGGACTTGCTGTCTTGTCTCCGTGTCTGCATTCACAATACCCGTTTTCAGTCTCTAGAAGCCGAGCGAGGCACCCTGGTGCATCGGCCTGGGTCTTTGCCCAGAGAGCATTTGGTCGTCTTGGCGGCCTGATTCAAAGAACCTCTACTAAAATTAAAAAACAAAACAAGCAAATACAAAAAAGAAGAAAAAAAGTCCCCATTTGAATGTTAGGAGACATCTTCACAATGAATTTAGGCTTTTAGTTTTTGTGGTTTCAGCAGCCGCCTTATTTGAGTGTGTTCTAGACAGTTGATGGTTTCCGAGGGTTCTGTCCAAAAGGAAGTCCTCTGATGAGAAAGTGTAACTTGGTCCTTGAAACACTCTCCGTATAGGAAACAGACAGCCGCTTCAGGCTCTTGCTCCTGACTGGTCAGGGTCCGTGTTTCTTGCTTAGGCAAGTTTGTCAGTTGAATTTGCTCAGAGAATACTGTCCTGTTGTAGGGCTCCCCAGAGACACCGGCCCGGGACTGGGGAAGCTTTGTGGGAAGGTGTCTCTTCTAGCTGAGCCCATACCTGCACCTTTGTGTAGGGAGGGGAGGTCAGTCACCACTGCTTTGAAGCTGATCCAGCCTGTGCTCCATCGGGAGCCAGGATAGACTCACCTTAAGTAAAATCATTGGGAATGAGGGCCAAGAATGACTTGGCTGTCCTCTCCCTGCCACAAGAAACAGGCCTGCGACTGTCACCTCTCCAGTGAGAGTTACAGTGGCATTCGCCCCTGTGTGGTTCTTAGTTTTAGGAAGATGCAACTGGGGGCAGGAGGAGGACAGTCAGTTTTGGTTACGGTTTAGAGCAAGGATACTTGGGGGCTGCTGGTGGGAAGGTGAATCCTTGCAACATTTCAGGGGGCCAGGTGGGGAATACGTATTGTGCCCCCCTCAGTTCTGGCTTATTGTTAATTTTTAGTGATTGTTAATTTTTAAGATCACCCCTTTCCATTCTCAAAAACATCCCACTTTGCAGGACAAATGATATGACTGGTACCCAGCCTTTAGGGTACCTTTAGGGAATGGGTCCTAAGAATGTGTTTAAAGATGTTGCTTTAGGGGTGTTTACCACAGACAGGCCTATTAGGCATAAGGAAAAGTTAGAGATAAATTATGTGTCTTGCAACAGAAGATTCACTAAGTTAAATTAGAGGATATCCACGTAGTAGAACCCTAGGTAGCCATTAAGAAATGGAATGTAGCAAAATATTAAATAGCATGGAAATATATGTATATTATTAACGAAAACTATTAACCCCATAGTATTATCCAAATCTAGTTCACAACGGAAAAAATAAACCATACACGGAACAAAGGACTGGATGAATATCCACTAAACTTTTGGTTATCTCTGGGCAGTGGGATTGGAAGTGGTTTATATATTCTCCTTTATACCTTTTCTTATTTCTAAATTTCCTACAGTGAACATGTATGTTGTAGGCAGAATAATGACCTCCCAAAGATGTCTGCATCTGAATCCTCAGAGTCTGTGAATATGTAAGCTTACATGACAAAAAGGAATTGAGTTGAAATTGATGTTGTTAAACAACTGACCTGGAGAAAGGGAGATTATCCGGGTGGACCCAGTGTAGTCACAGTGGTCTTTAAATGTGGAGGGGGTGGGGCAGGCACAGAAGATTGGTGCCTCCAAGAAAGACTCCACCAGACATTGAAGATGGAAGGGGGCCAGGAGCCCAGAAATGCTGGAAAAGGTAAGAAAATGGGTTCTCTCCTAGAGCCTCCAAAAAAGCAATGGGGCCTTCCTGACACCTTGGTTTTAGGCCAGTGAGAGCCACTTTGGACTTCTGACCTACAGAACTAGAAGATGATAAATTTGGATTTGTTTTAACCCACTGAGGTTGTAGTAATTTGTAACAGCATCAATAGGAAACTAATATAATGAACTTCTTTTTAAGTAATAATAAAGAGATGGTGATAACAGAAGTCACTTAAAAAGAAAGGGTTAGAAGGTCACATAGGCGGCTCAGTTGGTTGGGAATCTGCCTTCCGCTCGGGTCGTGATCCCAGGGTCCTGGGATCGAGCCCCACTTTGGGCTCCCAGCTCCTCAGGGAGCCTGCTTCTCCCCCTGCTTGTATGCTCCCCCTGCTTGTACTCTCTCTTTCTCTCTCCCTCTCTGTCAAATAAATTAATTAATTAATTTTTAAAAATCTTAAGGGAAAAAAAAAAGGAAAGGATTAGAAATCAAAGAAATCATTCCTTGTAATTTAAGCCAACAGCCATGCTAGGAGGAAGACTGGTACAGTCTTCTTCCTACCAAAAAATAAATAAATAAAAAATAAATAAAAATTTTTTAAAAATCCAGGCTCCTAGCTGGTTGCTGTTTTGTTATTAGTAGAAAATAATAATCAAGGGAAAAGTAAATGAGCTGACTAGCTAGCAGCCTGAGAAATTGTCCTATAGCGGTATATAATTAATAACATAAAATGAGGCAAGAACGCTCAGTACTGTGGGTCTAGAGGAGGGAGAACCAGGGAGCTGTGGCTTTTGAGAATTCTGGGACTGGGAATGGAATTGAACTTGAAAGGAAACCCTTTCCAAGTAAGTGGAAACTGCCAGGTTGTTCTGCTGGTTTGTGCTAGCAAATCCCATACTGGCATCAATAAATAGAAGAGAGTGATGGCTTTTCCAACCACCCCCCGCAAGGGGCAGGGAGATGAGCGTGTTTGCAGTCTGGCCCATTCTGAACTGTTCCCTGGAACAGCCTGCTCAGGTTGGAGAGTTGCAGAGGATTCTTTCTTAAATAAAATCCTTGCCTGTTTGCTTTGAAAGAGCTCTTAGGGAAACCCCAGATTCTTAGCAAAGGCTACAGAGAATAAAGTATCCAAAAATGGAAACACTATTTTTTTTTCTTTGCTAGAGGGTCCAAAACCACCTCTTCTTTAATTTAATCTGTAGTAGAGACTCCCTTTCTGTAGCAGACAGGGCTCTCTGGAAGCAGGTACTGAGCTGGGGTTTGGTGTGTGGGACATTCATTAGGGATAAACACCAGTGAAGGTCAGGGAGCCGAAGCGGGACTGGCCACAGAGGGTGGTGATGCTGAGATGCAGGCCTGACAAACGGGCAGATGTGGTCCATTAGAGTGGCCGGCTTTTAGACACCCTGCCCGTGGTCACTGGTTTCCGTGAGGCAGCTCTTGGCCAGCCCCGACCAGCTGGAGGCTGTGTGTTG